AATATCTGCTAACAACAGGTAATATATTTAGACAAGGCTTCCAAGAAAAAGTTTTGATTTAATCAATAGTTGTTGATTGTTGTTGTTGTTGATAATGAGGATGATGATAAGTGTATTTTGAAAAATCATCAATAAGTGATAAAATATCTATTTCCACCACGTGTTAAAATTCCTTCAAATTCACATAAATCAGTGTGAATTAATTCTAACAATTCAGTATTTCTCACCACACTTTTATGAGGCCTTTTAGTTATTTTTGCTTGACTGCAAACTTCACATTTCTCAAACTTATTTGTTAGTCTAGGAATTGATCCTAAACTACTCATGACTCCCACATATCGGCTATTAATATGACACTGACGAGCATGCCAAAAATTCATAGAAGACAACATGTAAACAGAAATATGTGCTTTCTTATTCTCAACATTTAATTTAAACATTCCATCACAGGCATACCCTTTCCCCACAAATATGCCTTTTTTAGTGATTACATATTGGTCAAATTCAATAGTCTTCTTGAAACCAACTTTGTTGAGCAAATAACTCGATATCAAATTTTTCCTCATGCACGGTATGTACAACACATCTTTTTAAACAAGCACGCGTTTAGAGGTAAAATTCAGCTCAACATCCCCATACCCGAGCACCTTGGTTAAACTGGAGTCACCAAGCATAACAGTCCTCTCCTCATTAAAAGGAGTGAAATCTTTGAACCAATCTTTATCATAGCAGACATGCCTATTGGCACTAGAGTCTGCCCACCCACATTCTACAGATTGAACCATAAAAATATCTGTGATCATAGCCACAAATGGTTCTTCGGTAACATTAGCTTGTGGTCGAGACTGTTGTTTTCGAAATTTGCAAGTTCGAGCAATATGCCCACTTTTGCAACACACAAAACATGTCACATTTGTCAGATCTTGTGAAGGGGGTTCTTGGTTCCATTTCTTTTGCCTCGGGTAATTTTTATTTTGTGGCTTTCTAGTATTTTTCCAAATTTTCTTAACTGGCTTCAAATGACTATTTTTATGAAATCAACCTTTAGGTAAAGTATTTCCAGAAGTTAAATTTACTTTTACAGTGGAATGCTCTTTTGTCATAAGCGCATCTTGTCCTCGTGCTTCTTCCTCCACCCGAATCCGTGTGATTAGAGTCTCCAAGGACGTCTCTTTTTGCTTGTGACACATTGACTTCTGGAACTCTCTCCAAGATGATGGAAGTTTGTCAACAATACCTGCTACAACAAGATTGTCTCCAATTTTGATGCCTTCAGATCTAATTTCAGCTACTAACATCTGAAAATCTTGGACTTGCTCCACCACTGATTTTCCATCCATCATCTGATAGCGGAAAAAATGGCTTGCAGCATATTTTTTAGCGCCTGCCTCTTCGGTGTCATATTTGTTCTGCAAGGCTTTCCAAATTTTCTTAGCAGTGGTGTAAGTAGTATCATAATAATCATAAAATTGATTTGAAAGACAATTCAAAAGATAGTATCAACATTTATACTCATCTGTGTTGTATTTTTTGATTTTTTCAAGATGAGCAGCATACTCTTCGTCGGTCATCTCTTCAGTGGGGACTTTGTTAGGATTTTTTTCGGTCAGAATATACGCCACCTTAAGGAAACTGAGGTAGAAAATCACCTTGCCTTTCCATCTCTTGAAATGAGCTTCCTTGAACCGGAAGGGCTTGTTGAGATCGCCGGTATTCTCGTTGGCCTTCTCCAATACTGGCTCCATGAACTTTTGTTATTTGAATCTCCTTAAAATTGTTGGTGATAATTACAAATAAAAACTAGAAAATACAAATAATAGAAATTACAATAATTATTGAAAAGGCTGAGGTGCAAGAAATTCGCTCTTTTTAAGGAGATTTAAGCTCTCTGCGGTTAGGCAAAGCCTCACATCGGTGCAACAGAAAAAAAAAAAAAAATCTTGACTTGTCCCCTCCAGGATACAACAGCCCGACTAAGTTGTATGGTTCACCAATACTACACAATTGGTTGAACCCAAAGTTTTATCACACACACCCTTTTTATTTGCCTAATAATCTCACTCAAGACATAACAACACAACCAAAACTTCTTCTCTCGTATGTGTCAAGATAGGAGATAAGCTCAATATATATAGAAAGGAAGCTTAATAGGCAAGGATCTTGGTGGATAAGATAATAAGAGATTTAACCAAGACCTTGGAAGCTTATCTAGGAAGACTTGGAATGGATAAGTCTTGGCAAACTTTATCTTGAAAGATTTGGATGGATAAGAATGGGGAGACTAGGAAGGCTTGAAAGGATAAGACATGAAGGAAACCAATAAAACATTATAATATTAAAATAACTGCTAACAGATTGTTTGGCAAACCAACAATGAAGCTGTTTAGTAATCCAACAAGGCGCTTCAACCCTTCTCGGCATCACTACAGCTTACCCAAGCTGCCCAACATCAATACTTTGTAACCCAGTCTAGCGGCGACGAACTTGTAGAAGGCTACTCGACATGCGTACGCGTGGACCTTCGCACTACTCGACAACCATTCTGCGTTAACCGGCAACTCAAATGCCAACCTCAGCCCCCATTTATCAATTCGGTGGTGGAAAATGGTGGCGGGTGGTAGCTAGTGTTGGGTGGTAAAAAAAAAAAAATTGAAAACTCAAAACAAAAGCACATTTTTTGTGTTTTCATTTTTTGGCCAAATTTATAAACTGAGACCACTGATTTATAAATCAAAAATTTTACCAAACAAGTTTTCATTTGATTTTTAAAAATTTTTGTAAATATAAACTGAAAACTGAAAACGTAAGTGTTACCAAACGACACCTCACTAATTCGCTGGAGAAGACGACCACAAGTTGGCAAACAAAATAAATTATTGCATGCATTGCGGCTACGTTACATCGAAGAGGTTTCATGACTGAACCACAATCAAGTTCAAATATATATCTTGCAAAATATAAAGAATAAGATCTGGTGTGGCACAGTGGTCAAGTATTACTTCTTCTTGACAAGGGCATGAGTTCAAACCTTGCAAACAACAATTTCACTTTTATTTTTGCCAAGCCGCCTAGCCGAGCCAACGAGCCGAGCTGCGAAGCCACCGAGCCGAGCCGTCCCGTCAAAAGCAACCTCGAGCCGTCCCGTCAAAAGCAACCTCTAACATCATATTGACATAAGTTGATATGCAGGAAATTATCCAATGCTTCGCAGAGCCCAATTCTCCACCGATCTACGCTGTCAAATCCACCTTGGCTAAACTTATGCCATTAGGAGTTCGATTCCAACTATCCAATAGTCATTTCCAACTATTTGGAACCTTCTGAACGCATCTGTACGGTCTGATTTTGCAAATTTCATCTAAAAAATTTGTGAATTTTATATGCAGTGCCACATATTGCAGCTTAAACAATATTTTCACCGCCACGCCTAGAGTTTGATCAACGTCGACTTTAACAACTACAACATATTTGGAGACTTCCCGCCTATATCACAGCCCGAATCATTTTTCGCCACAACCGAACCTACCCCGAAACATGGCAAACCAATGCTCGGCAATTTCAGCATGTATCCATTATGAATTCTTTCCAAAGAACACTTGGCACTTGAAAGCACTGGGGCACAAAACAGCAACTTAACAAATCTGCTTCCAATATCCACTCAACAATTCCTTACAACGGCTTCTTACAATGGCGCAATGTTATTTTTTAATGCTCTATCATTGGTGTCAGTTTTTTAGCTTTCTACTTATTTGTGATCACCAAGTCTACATCATTTGGTACATGCAATTAATGACATAGGATGCACTACTCAATATCCTTGTAATGTCTGAAATTGAAGCAAAAGTCTCCGAATGTAGAGCAAGAAAGCCTCCGAATATGGAGCACTCTTCGTGTTCGGCACGGAGCGCCTTAAACAAAAGTCTCCGAATACGGAGCAAGAAAGCCTCCGAATACAAAGCGCTCTTCGTATCTGGCATAGAGAACCCTTCGTATCCGGCACAGAGTGCCATCAGCAAAAGTCTCCAAATGCAGAGCAAGAAAGCCTCTGAATACAGAGCGCCCTTTGTACTCGACACGGAGCGCCATCAGCAAGAGCCTCCGAATTCAGAGCAAGGCATACATATATTTAGGGTTGGTTTGGGATGTCCTAAAAAAGTGCACTTTTTGACTTATTGGTGGGTTTGGGTTGGGTTTGATGTGATGTGTTAGAGAGGTGATGTAATTTAAATAAGATGATGTGACTTAAATAAGATAGTGACTTTTTGACTTTTTGACTTATTTAGTACATGCCAAACTAGCCCTTATACTTACATTCAAGCATACATGCACTCATATAGTCATTCATTCATTCATTTTATTCATTTATCCAGTATGTTCTTTGTCAAGAAACCTAATATCTATTTGAACAGCGTAGCTCAATAATAAAACTCACATTCTTTCTACCGCAGACAATGAAAGTTTTGGGCAATTGTGGTGACCCAAAAAATACTACCTTATTAACAATGGGCCCAGCAAACAAGGGAGTCCATCAAGTAAATATCACACCCCCATCTATAAAAGGAGGGCATCCTGTGAAATGAAGGTATGTCTCATGTCTCTGCACCATACAGCACACTCACTCTCTTCATTTCTTCATCTTCTCTATTTGATTCAAGTTGCTAACTTTATCATCGGAGTGTCTCCGGTCGGCAACCTCGGTTGGGTGGTGCCAACCATACTTATCTTTGTAGATTTACGAGGCAAAACTCATTTCTTCATTGGATCTCTACAACTCATGTGAGAGGATTTTCTAGGTCTCACACCAACGAATGTGGAATTAATAATAAATGAATTTTTTTAGGCCTTTCACAATTCTATTTGACAGATTTGGCATGGTAAGAACTCAAAATAATCTTGCAATAATGTACATTGCATTACTGTAATGGCTTGTTGATTCAAGAAAAGAAAAAGAAACTAGGAAGAACTTTGATGAAAGGAAAATTTTCCATTCAATAGCTTATAATAGTATGACTAAACAACAATATTATTACTTAAATAAACAAGACTCGGTATACAATGCACTGCGTGCACATACCAGATGTTAGAGCCCGATATGAATATACACATGCACTTCTTTTGGAACAATGATGTTATTGCCAGACCATCGTCTAATGAGAAAGACTCAGAAATCACTTCAATGTACAGCTTAAGAACTCTGAATCAAGAATTGGTAGGCAATTCTTGAAATTCACTCTCATTCACATTCTCATTCCACATTTTTCTATCCCACCATCAAAACAAAAGCTAGATTGCCCTAGTTTTAACTGCATTTTAGCTCTTATTTGCAAAAACATATCATATACTATGTTGAATTCAAATCTCTCGATTTCTGCGAATCACCTCCCTTACTAAGGTCAAGTTTGGCTATCCTAAATAAATACACACTTTTTATCTTTTTATCTTTTTTTCATCACATCATCTCTCTACTTTTCTGCACATCTTTTCATAAAAAGATAAAAAATACACTTATTTAGATCATTCTAGACAAGTCCTAAGCCGGTTATCGCCATTGCGCTTGGCCGTAGTCTCCTTTTTTTTGTTCCTCAATTACACCAACTCCTCCTGAAGCCAACCCATTCAAATTGTTCCCATGGTCAACCCCAAACCTTCTCATTTTCCCCATCTTCCTAAATTCACCACTAGAACCCTTTCCATTTCCATCCACTGCTGATTTCGCCAAATTCTTTTCCTCAACCTGACCTCCACTCCTTGACCTATCTCTCAATCTCCCTAATTTGTTAAACCCACTTCTCTCGACACCATTTTTAGGTTCCAAATTTTCCAAATTGTTCAACCTAGTCTCGGAGACTCCATCGATCGCCATAAACAACTGTGGACCATCTTTCTCAGACCACAAATCGAACCCACCGGGTCTCTGAAACCTATCAGCCAACACCTTTACTTGTTCATCAGCACTCACGGAGAGAAGCCACGGCGGTTTCTTGACAACCTCCCATGGCCGCTCGAGCTCGGAGACAGCCGATTTCAGCTCTGCACGCTTTCGAATTTCGTAGATCTGGCGTTCGCGGACGAGGCGGGACTTGAGGAGGTGCTTGGCCTTCTTCTCCTGCATTCGCTTCCACTCCCACTTCGAGACACCGCCGGGGAAGGTTCTCGGACCGCCGCCCATGCGAATCGGCGGCGATTTGGTGGTGTGAAGTGAGAGGTGGTGGAGATTGGAGGTGAGAGAGACGTGGTGAGGGGAAGATAAAACCCTAGATGATGAGAAGTTACAGGATGGGAGTGTTTTGATTGAGAGAGACATTTGAATGATCGACATTTTTTAGGGAAGACGAAGTGACGCGACCGAGTGAGTAGACGAGCGAGCCGTTCGGTTCAAGTCAGTTCGACCCTCCAGGCCCAGTGTTTATATATGTTTCGGCTTTGGTCATTAGACATGTTTGGTCTAGACAAAAACATGAGAAATGTTAAAGGAAATCAATTATTTTAATAATTTTTATAAAAATATACGTGTAAAAAATAAAAAATAATAATTTATAACGACTTTTTAATTTTTTAAAAAAAATTTGTTAGTTGTCAAACGAGACTTAAAAATAAGAAATTACATAAGACGATTTGGGTAAAAATATTTAAATATGGTCGGCAATAATTTTATATAAGAGAAATGCGTAAAATTTATATGTAATTTTTTTTTTTGGTATGAATTGAAATTTTTTTAACTTTAATTGCCAAACAATTTTTCAATTTCCTTTGAGCAAGATTTTAGTGCCACTTTCTATATTATCTCATATTAATCCAACATATAAATTAGATTAATAACTATTCATTTAGATTATTAAATAGTTAGTGTCAGAATGCATACAGTTAATAAACTCTAGTTTTATATTGTTCTTTAATGCTTGCAGTAGGTGTGTTGTTAACTAGTAAAATTATCGAAGTAGATAGAAAAGTTAAAATTGTATGTTATATAACGAGAAAGTTATAAAAGTGAAATATAATTTTATGTGTTAAAATTTGTTAGTTTAGTAAGTGAGTAAGTATTGTAATACAAATATTAAAGTGTGTGATATAAATATAAAATAATTGTATTAAGGTTTGTCAGTTTAGCCATATTTTTTTCACATAATTTATTTTCGTACTTATCTATACTATATATATAATCAAATGCAGTTATTTTGTCAAAAACCTCCAAATATTTATTCTTAAATTCTCATAATTTTAAAACACTCTCTTTCCTACGTGGAAACCTTCTTTGATTGCCTTTCATGTTTTTTATTTTTCTTTATTTTTTATTTGTTTGATTAATTAAAATTAAAATTAATTTCATTACTTATGGATAAATATTTGAATTTCAAAATTCCTCCATATGGATAAACAAATAAAAACTGAAAATTAATTTTATAATCTACAGATAAAGATAAAAAATAAACAATTAATTTAAAAAAATTAATTTCATGTCTTATAGATAATTTAAAATTTCTTCCCATAAATAAACAAATAAAAGTTGATAAATAACTTATAAAAATTAATTTCATGCCCTATAAATAAAGATAAAGATTAAATAATTGATTTTTTTTAATAAAAAAACAATTACTCTCTTTTTTTCCCCCTCATTTCGTACTTTAATTAATTTCATTATAGATAAACATATAAAAATTCATAAATAATTTATGAAAATTTATTTCATGACATGTAAATAAAGATAAAAATTTTAAAAATTAATTTCATGCCTTATAGATAAATAAACATATAAGAATTGATAAATAATTTATAAAGATTAATTTCATGGTCTACAGATAAAAATAAAGATTAAATAATTGATTTAAAAAAAATTAAAATAATAAAATTTAGATAAATATATGATTTGTTAATCTATATATCTATCAAAAACATATATATCTAAATCTTTATTTTGATTTACTCATTTTTTTTTCTCCTATCACATATTATCTTTTTTTATTTTAAATTTTTTATCTTATGAAATGCTCTTATCTATAACTTCTTATCTCCTATTAAATTCTTAACCTTCTCTTGATAATTTTTATTATTCGTTATTATCTACCAAATGATAAAGATTATAAAAAAAAAAAATTATCGCTCTGGATGAGAATAGTATTAATAATGAAATAATAAAGGCTGCATGGGAGAAGGTAGCACAAAAATCTCACAAAATTAATTTTCTTCACTATATTTATAAAAGGTAATAATTTGAGATTCCTTCTATTAGTGATTAAAAATAATTTGCATTAGATCATTGTTATGTTTTATTTTTAAATTTTTTATAAGGCTATCATTCGTTATAGTATTTCTTCAATCCCATCTCTAAATTCTCTCTTTGAAATCTTTGTTTTTTCAATAATTAAGTTTAGAATCAATTTCTTATCAAATTTGTTTTCTTGATCCTTGTTTTATTGAAGGATCGAGACGAATAAAACTTTCATATAATATATGAAATTAGTGAATATAATACAAAGATGATAGGGAAGTACTACATATTTGTTAATATCTCTATGTTATTATTAGTTGATTTGCTAGATTATACTATCAATTTAGAGCCCATATGATTTAATTCAATGTTCATGACTCTATTTGTATTTGGCCATTTTTTCGTTGAGTAGCCGATATAATTTTTTTTTTTTGGTATATAATGATTAAAGCTATCATTTGTTATATTTTTATCATTTTTTTTTATAAATAAAATGGATTAAAACTATTCTCTTATATAATTTTTATAATACTATGACATTCTTATCTTGATTAATTTTTTTAAAATGATGTAGGAACTATGCAAGTATTATTCAAACTATGGAGAATGATTTATACTTTGATATGATATGAGTGTGTCATTGGTAGAGGAAATCAAAGATAAAGAGTTGCTAATATAATCAATTACTGATTTGTTTGAGAAGTTCTTTTTATAAGCAATGCAACAAACTTAGATTAAAATTTTTTAAAAACTACTTATAAATTATAATTAAAAGTTGATATTTATTCATAATTTAATCCCACAATAATAATATACACCATTGATTTAAAAGTTTAAGTAAATTTATGATAGCTTTTCTAAGCTTATAGAATTTCTCTCTTTTAATGTTTTGTTTAGTTTGATACAAGTTATTTATGTTATCAAGTGATTGTGATACTATTATTCTCAACAATTTTTATAATTAATAATTTCTTATGCATATCAAATTTTATTGTAAAATTTTGTGGGTTAATTATTGTTAACATCTACTTAGATGGTTTAATATTATGGCTTGTCGCTATTTATTAAGATATAATTTAAAATTAAAATGATTTATTTATCACACAAAATATATATAATTTATTTTTCCGTGCATCGCACGAGTCACCGCTAGCTTAAACATATACCAGACGGATTGTAATAGGAAAATGTTTAGCTAATAAATATGTTTTATTGTAGATGTCATGGTAATGATCAAGCTGGCAACTCAACAGGTTAATGTGGTGTTTCTAAATCAGAGTCAAGAGTCTCTCCTTGCAGCTCCGTACTTGCGCTTGTCCTTGCAGGTCTTCGGGCCTACTTTTAAACCCAATTTTGATAATTCGAATCGTTCATATTTTATGATTTATTCAGTATATCATACCTGTTAAAAATCAAATTGATCGGATATCAGAAAGCATGTGTTCGGAAAACTGTTTATTAAATTATTTAAAAAATGGTTTTTAGTTCAATTTTTCGAACACATACTTTCTAATATCCGATCAACTTGATTTTTTACAGGTATGATATACTGAATAAATCATAAAATATGAACGGTTCGGATTATTAAAATTGGGTCTAAAAGTAGACCCGAAGGCCTGCAAGGACGGGCGCAAGGATGGAAGTTGCAAGGAGAGGATCCTGATTCTCTAAATCAATAAAGGCATTGTTTGGGAAAACGAAATTCAGGCTATTGTAGCTTCAAATTTGAAACAACTTTGCTACAGACCCCGCTGGGGGTCGACCCTCAGTGAGGTGGCAGCCCCCCATTCGTCCAAATTACAAAAAAAAAAAAAAAAAAACAATTTTTTTTTTGACCAATGAGAAGTCTCCATTTATGACCCCGGGTTTGAGGCATTTTTCAATTTGAAAATAGCTAAAAAGCCTCGGTGGTGAGGCTATTTGTATAGCTGGGTTGCATTATGAGGTGTAATTATCATTTTACCCTTTGACTCTTTCAACTTGGGATACGGATTCAACTCATCTCATAACTTATTTCACACCATCTGCCATTATCTCTCACATCACTCACCTACGGACTGAAGAAACACAACTTCGACTCACCAATCTCTCTCCGGTAGACTTATCTCCGGTGGAACTCTTCCTTCCACACAACACGACTGGCGAAGAACTGCGACAGGTATATGAATTGAACTAATTATACATTTGTTTCTAGCCTTTGCCAACTCGATGTTGTTGGTTGTTCATTCCGATCTTCAAGATCCTGCTGTGTTTTGCCCCTACTGATGGTATTTGGTGAATATTTTCGCCGATTTGGTCATACTCTGTTTTTCCCAATTGATAGAAGTAAAAGTTAAATTTGTAAGAAATTTGTCAATTTTTTTTCATTCGTATTTATGATTACAAGTCAACTATGAACCAAATAAATAATGGTATACTAGTGGTAAACCCGTGCTATGCACGAGATTGATTTAATAATGTGTAAATTTTTTAATAACACATTAATTTCTAAATTTACTCATAAAATTATAATTATAATGCATAGAGATCATCTTTTCAAATTTCTTAAGTGAAGACAATATTTCAAAGCAAATATTCATAAAACATTTAAATCATCCAATTGAGTTATTTTTCTTAAAACAATAAACTTGATTTCTAACTAATGAAATAATATATATTAACAATAAATAAGATGTTTCTCAATAAACCTAATGTCTAAAACATATATATGCTAAAAAAACTAATAATAAACTAAATGTCATAAATCAAATCTATCTATATTTGATAAATTAAAATTCAATAGATGTCGCTCATCATGTCCAAATATTCCAAAAAAGTACCTGTAAAATAAAAAAAGTGTTAACATTTTTTTGTTATCATTTTTTACATATAAACAAATAGTTCATAAAGACAAAATAGATTAAAATAATTAATAAAGATTTTTTTTACATCTAATTCATAATCTTTTTTTTTCTCTCTCATAACTCAAATCAACTATAAAAATTAAAAAAAAATTAAAAAATCAACTATCATTTCAAACATAAATTTTTTAATCAAATTAAAATAATTAAAAAATTAACTAAAATAATTTATTTCCAAATAGACTGGGTGTTTTTTGACTTTTTAATATTAGGCAGAAAATTTAGGGGGTGTGGTTTTGGTAAAAGCATCCAGTTGTGCCGGTTGCGTGCCAGTTGCTGACGTGATTGTAAAATAACTTAACGTGTGGCACCAACTCTAGCCTTGCATTACAGCGGATCCCGTCCTCAGTCTTTGCGTCTCTAGAGGTTAAAAGCTGATTTTTATTTTTTTTTGAAAAAATGCGAATAAAATTGAGGTGGTGTGATTTAAAAAAAAAAAAAAAGTC